CCCTAGTCTTCTTTCTGCTTCCTGGATATCCTCACCTCATTCTACCTCAGGGCCTTTGCATATACTGTTCCCTTTGCCTGGAATACTCTACTCCCAGAAAGCTGCAAGGTTTACTCCTTTATCTTTGTTCTAGATGCTGTAATGTGCGACCCAGACTTCCCCTTGCAGGATTGATTGAATTATTATCCCAGCTGCTGGGGAAGTTGTCAGCTGACAGCTCTGGGCTCTCAGCCCTCTCCTAGAATTATCCTCAATGAAAGAGAATCTCATTGCCCAAGGTCAATCCTCCTTTTCTGGGTAACTAGCATTCAACGCCTGATCAATGTAGATGAATAAAAGCCCAGTGCCTTCACTCTGACTTGGGGCAATTCCAAAACGTCATCCCAGCATCCCAGCGCCCTGTCGGGGGAAGAAGTGGTAGCTGAGGCTCTGTTGTAATGGTACCCCAGCCCAACTACTTCTTCTGTTCAATCCTGCTTCTTTCCCTTCCCCAATAGGGGGTGATCCTGAGAGCACACCCTAATAAACTTCTTCCATGTTCATCTCAGTCTCAGACACTGCTTCCCTGGGGACACAACCTGTGACAACCTCTTTTAGGTTTCACTCAGTGCCATCCTCTCAGGGAAACTGTCCTCTATCATCCTAACAGGACTGCGACCCTCACTCAACATTCTCAATATGGCTTCCCCGCTTTACTTTCCCCTTTACCACTGTCACCAGCTAACATCACCTCTATTTTACTTATTTTTCCAATCTACTGCCTTTCTCCTTCCACTAGCATGTTCTGAACTTCAGGAAGACAGGGACTCATCTTTGATTTGCTTACTGTTCTATCTCCATCATCTGGAATAATGCCTGGCATGTAGATGTTGCTTGATATCTGATTGTTGAGTGACTGTTGCATGAAAAAGGGGGAGGGCCCCACAGAAGACGGTTGTTTTATCAGCAGAGTGCAAGAGGGGGATGGAAACAGAAGAAGCTGATAAAAAGAGTAAGATTATTAATAAATGAGGTGCCTTGGGTTGCCCACTGAAGAAACAATTTGGGATGCAGGATGAGATGAGAGAGGAAAGAGAGCCTGATGGACTGGCAGAGTTTGTGAGGGAAAGGAGAAAGAAAGAAGGGAAAATGAGTAGCTGTAGTGAGATTCTGGACTTTAGAGGGAGAGGGAGAGAGATGAGGATAAGGCAATTTTAGGATCTAGCATTGTGTGTCATGCACTGTAATTCCTCTCGGCTGCCTTCCTCATGAAAACCTTCAGCAAAACATCTATTGTGGTAGCACACATCCATGTAGTGGCTAAGCTTGAAGGTTTTACAGTAGATTGTTTGGGTTCCATTCTCAGCTCCAGCACTCACTGTGTGACCTCAGGCAACTTCTCTGTGCCCTGGTTTACTCATCTGTAAAATGAGGATTCCAGTATCTGCCTCACGTGGCTATCTTTAGGAATAAATGAGGTAATATATTGGACATGCTTAACACAGTCCCTGGCACACAGTGACAGCTGGATGAATGTTAGCCATCATTGCTATTATCAAGAAGTAGTTTAAAAGCTAAAAGAGATCTATAGGTGTTGATAGGAAAAGACTTCTAAGTATATCACCACAATATTGTTAAGTGAAAATGCAAGTTGCAAACAAGGCAGATGGTAAGATTCCATTTATATATATCTATCAAAATAATGTATTTCTGCGTGTGCGTTATGCATGCAAATGCCACACTCTGCTATGATGAATCTCAAAGTGGGAATAAGAAAGTCCAATTTCATTTGGATTATACCCATTTTGTAGTTGAGGAAACCGAGACTTAAGAGATTTAAATTAATAACTTACCCAAGGTCATACCTGGTATGGATGAAATTTTGATTGAAGTTCAAGTCGGCTTGACTCCATAGTTCATGATGAGGCAAGAAAATGCAAAGGAAAGGAGTGACTGGTGTCAGGCACTGAAGGAGAGAAAACTTGGGTGAGTCTTGGGGCCTCTCTGGAGGAAAAGAGGAGAACAGGGCGTAGCTGTTGCCTGAGAAGGGTCCTGGTGAGGAGTGGCTTGCATGAGGTTTGTCAGGAAGCTGCTGCAATGGCTCCAGTGAGCTGTAAGCCTACACGGCCCAAAGGAAGGAAGAGAAGTGGTGACAGGATGGAAGAATGCCCCTGAGCCCAGAGACCAAGAGGAGACCAGAAGGGGCTGTATGGGGAGGGTGAGGGAAGCACAAGGATGCTGCTCTGCTTTGGGTGACAGTAGGATGGTCAGGGACTAGTTGAGTGGAGAACACAGGGAAGAGAGGGTTTGGAGGCATGGGTGGTGGGAAGAAGGCAGTGCAAGAGAGTTTGGTTTTGAACAGGCTGAATTTAATGTAACAAGAGACGTCTAAGCAGCTGCAATAGAAGTCTGGAGCTGGCGGTAGAGGATGGAATTGGAAGTCATTAATAAAAAGAATGATTGCTAACATTTACTGAACACTGACTACATGTCAGGCTCTGTTCTAAGCTCTTTACATGTACAGTGTATTAGCTTATTCAATCTTCCTAATAACCCTCTGAAGTCCATTTTATAGGTGAAGAAACTGAGCTGGCATTTATGGAGCATTTGCCATGTGTCAGGCGTGTAGGATATTACAAGAATCATCTCATTTAATCTCTACAGCTGCCCCATGCCATAGATGCTATTATTATCCTTGTTATAAGGATGGGTAAACCGAGGCTCCGAGAAGCTAAGGAACTTGACCAGGGTCACACATGGTAAGGCCAGGGCTCAAAACCTGGCAGTCCAACTCCAGAGCAGGGTGCCCTGCCTCCTTTCTTAAAGCCTCACTTAAGAACAGGTGGTGGGGGCTGGCCCTGTGGCCGAGTGGTTAAGTTCTCGCGCTCCGCTGCAGGTGGCCCAGGGTTTCGTTGGTTCGAATCCTGGGCGCAGACATGGCACTGCTCATCAAACCACACTGAGGCAGCGTCCCACATGCTACAACTAGAAGGACCCACAACGAAGAATATACAACTATGTGCCGGGAGGCTTTGGGGAGAACAAAGGAAAAAAATAAAATCCTTAAAAAAAAAAAGCAAAAGAACAGGTGGTGTTGGGAAAACAAGGAGGGAATTTTAAGAAGAGTGCGCTTAGCGGTGTCAACTGATACAGGGGATCACGGATGATAAAGCTTGGAACTTGACTCCTGGTTTGCCAATTGGGAAGCATTTGAGGACTCTCGATAAGCGCAGTTTCAGGGAAGTTGCAGGTGAGCAGGGTTCCAGGCTTCAGGGAGTGGCAGAGTGAGAGGGAGACAGGCAACCTGGAGCACTGGCAGGGCCTCCCTCCTGTCTCATGTTATAGGCACCCAGTGGGAGGGACTGTGTTCCCTGGCACATTCCAGCTTCTCCCTGGTGATGGGCAGCTCTGCTAGGATTGAGCTTCTCCACCCCTACCAGGAATCCCGTTGCTCTGGGTGATCAGAGGTAGTGCCTCATACAGCCTTCAGGACTAAACAGCCAGAGTAATCCTGGAGCCAGAGAAGGAATTCTGTATAAACCGTGGGTTTTTCCAGGGCTCCACCAACAGTTGTTTATAGCGTTCATCACACATAGCAAAAACATCTTAAGTGTTGGCAAGACATCAGATTGAAGATGGCCTTATCTTTCATGGGTGCTTCTTCATTAGAACCTAAAACTTTTTAAGACCCACTCAGTCACATTCAAGGTTGCTTTCCCTAGCATCTGGAGTCTCAAAAAGATCAAAACAACCATTTGCCCAGGACAGCACTAATTGGCTATGGCATCTGGTGGTTTTATTACTCTGTAATAAGGTTACTTACACTCTCTCTCGAGTTCTTTAATCACCATGCACATGGATTCCCATCTGTCTTTTACCTATTCTATCATCAGTGGCTGCCTGAAGATCTTGGAACATCTTGTATAGGAGGAGATGCACATTTGGTTCTAATCCGGGTTTCTATGAGCTGGAGAGGCAACTGTTGTTACTGTTTACCTCAAGGGATTTGTTATTGGCCTTCTGTCCGCAGAGTCAACAGAAACGTGGCTAGGAAACATTCCTTCTGGTTGGAAGGCAGCCTTGCTAGGGGCTTTTGAGATCCTTGCCTGGGACAGTGGACTACCAGTATTTCACTGCTGCTACAGAAACCCCCAGACCTTTGGCCCATAAGATCTCCCACATTATACTGCAGAACTACCAACAGCAGTCAGACCAAGAGGCAGATGAATCTCAGGTTCACTGGTTGGGAGCGATCTCATCGAACAAGTTACCGTCTATTTCAGCGTCATACCGGTGAAGGACACACACAGAGGTTAGGGGTTTTGGACAGGGCCACATCCCTGGTTAGGGGCAGAGCTGAGCCAGTATCGGGCATGTTGACTCTCACTTAGTACTCTTTCTTCCACAACACTCTGATCCCCCTGATCGGTGTATTTTCGGGGGTGTGTGTGTATGTGGGGCGGGGGGGGGGGGGGGGGTTATAGGGTATTCATTTCTCTAGGCATAAATTCCCATGTCCACCAGCGACGTCAAGTCAGAAGAAGTCAGAATGCTATGTTCAAGGCAGAATCCCAGCCACAAATGGAATTAGCCTTCGGCCAGGAAACCAAATAACGTTTCCAAGATCTGCCCACGACGTGGAGAGATGAGGTGATCTGTGAGTTTGGGTTGAGCAGTGTCGGCTTTAGGTATTTAGTGTGGCTTCCCCAACGCCTGCCTTTTTCCAAACTGCAAGACCTGGAATAGTCCCTTATAAACAGCCGTTCCCAAACACAGTGGCGCCTAGACAGCCACCCCGAGGAAGGAGGTGCATCTGACGCTGGCTGGAGGGGGCGAGGGAAGGAGGCGAGGCCCAGTCCGCCCCATGCCTGGGCTTGACATCCCCGACTAAGGACTAAGACGGAGCCAAGAGAAGCGCAGAAGGACCGAGGACCAGGCAAGGGGCCGGGAGCAGTAGAGAAGGCGGCCTCCCGCCGCCTGGAGGCGCCAGCCCCTCCCATCCGCTCTACCCGCGCCACGTCTCTATGGCGGTCCCAACGACCGTCCGGGTCGCGGAGCGGGATGAGCGCGGGCGCCGACGGCGGCGGCGGCGGCGGCGCTGGGACCGAGGCGCGGTCCCGAGGGGCCAGTCCAGGAGCGGATGACTTCGTACCGTCGGCGTTGGGGACCCGAGAGCAGTGAGTGTGGCTTAGGGCAGGGGAGGGTGAGCGGAGCTGTCCGGACTGGACCCCGGGAGGGAACGGAGGGATGGGGCCCCGAGGGCCCCAGAAGATGGGAAGAGTCTTGGGGGCGTGACGGGAGGAAGCCAAAAGGGCTGTCTTGGGCGAGGGTAAGGGGGATTGAAGCGATAAAATCCCGAGGGGCACCCCGGGGGCGGTTAAGAGGCATTTCAAGAGGTTAACGTCTAAGGGGCTCGTGGGGTGCAGGACGGGTTTTGAGGCTCTTGGGGAGGCCTTTTGAGGGTTTTGAACCTAAGGGGCGGGCTTGGGGAAAGGGAGAGGGGGCGGGACCAACGAATAGGGCTGGTGGGCGAGAGTAAGAGGCCGGGGGGGGGGGGGGGGGGCTGGGGGTGGCGGAGGCGGAGGGAACTGCTGGGCCCCGGAGCTGACAAGGTTAAGACGACGAGGGAAGGGCTATGGGAGCAGGAAGGGGTGGGAGTGGAGGGTGACCTGAGGAGGGAGCGAGGAGATAGTGGGGCATCTTGGGGTGGGAGAAAGTGATCTGACCTAAAACAGACGCTCAGTAATTATTTTATGAATTATTAGATGGAGGAATGAATGACTGTGGGGAAAGGTAAGGATGAGTAACTTGGAGGGGTGAGAGGAGCAGGGATTCTAGAGAGGTGAAGTAGGAAGGGAAGGCAAGTGATGGGGGAGGGGAAACTGTACTTAATAGGAGTAAGAGTAAATCTTAAACTGAAAGCTTAACCTTTAAGCAGAACTTATCTTTGGTGAGTTCCGTTGTGAGGCACCACTGTATTGGTAGAAAATCCTTGTGTCTGCACACTTTAGACTGAAAAGTGCTGTAATTACACTATGCCTGTACAGTCAAGTTTTGGACTGGTGTTTGGGACTTAGGGATCCTTGGACAAATACTTCAAGTATTTTTTAAGCTAAAAGATATAGCATTTTTTATGTTAGGTATTGTTCTGAGTGATTTATACGTGTCGACTTATTCTGTCTTTCATTCTTTTAACACCAGGTTGTTAAGAGATTATGTGCACTTATTGATAACTAATAGTGTTTTAAATTTCTGTCATGAATATCTCTGTAGTGTATTAGAAACATACATTTAATTCATGATACAGTTTAATTCAAGAATCTTGCTTTGCATTTCATTATTCGTATAGTTGGGATGCTGTCTATGAGAGAGAACTGCAAACTTTCCAAGAATGTGGAGATACAGGAGAAATATGGTGAGTTAGAAAAAATAGTGGAATTATCCAGAAGATTGTGTGTGTGTGTGTGTGTGTGTGTGTGTGTGTGTGTGTATGTATGTATGTATCTTTTAAGTGCTTATCCCAAAGAAAGATAGTCTAAAAATCTTGGAAACCTTGGACTGGTTCTGGCATTAGTGGGTAGATTTAAATAATCTCTCTCTTTTCTCTTTTTTAATGGCCCAGATTTAAATTTGATCAGAGTCTTAGGAAATTACTTTCATCCTACAATTGTCCTTTTTCAATAAGCAATAAAATTTTGAGCCACCAACAGGTACAAGTGTTAATGCTGATATAGAGAAACATTAATAAGTAACATACCAAACTTATCTATTCTATTCTGTTCTTGGGGGTGTTTTCTCCTAAATAATAAAGATGAAGCTTAAGCCGTCACAGATATCACTTCTTACTTCCAAAAAAGATTTAATTGAGCATATTGAATAAGCTGATAAAATGGAATATAGTTGTAACTTTTGTTGTATATCCCTCTGTTATTTAATTAACTGATTCTCTGTTTCTAATAGGTTTGGAGAAGAGAGTATGAACCGACTAATAAGGTGGATGCAAAAACACAAGATTCCTTTGGATGCTTCAGTACTTGATATTGGAACTGGAAATGGTGTTTTCCTGGTTGAACTTGTTGGTACTTTTAGTATTCATGTGTTAGAGCCAAATTTTAAAATGAAAATTTAAAAAAATCGTGCAATTTAGGATACTAACTATCTAAATCTAAAGTAGTAAAGCAGTCATACCACTTCCTTTGAGAAGTCACATAGTCCAAAAGAGAAGCTGCATGGACTTTGAGAAAACACTAAATGAGAAGCCAGGGGATCCGAGTCCTAGTTTTGACTCCTGGCTATATCCTTGTCCTTGAGCAAGCCACTTCTTTTCAGTTCTTTCCTAGAAATTTTTTTTTTTCCTTTTTCTCCGGAAAGCCCCTCAGGTACATAGTTGTGTATTTTTAGTTGTGGTTCCTTCTAGTTGTGGCATGTGGGATGCTGCCTCAGCGTGGGCTGATGAGCGGTGCCGTGTCTGCGCCCAGGATTCGAACCAGTGAAACCCTGGGCCACTGAAGCAGAGCGCGTGAAGTTAACCACTCGGCCACAGGGGCCAGCCCCCTCTTTCCTAGAAATTTTGACTAGATGATCTCTGTTGGTTTCTTCTGGCTCAAAACTCCAGAAATCTTTTTGTATAAAAGGAAGATTACTTTTTGCACTTTCAGTAGGACATATATACCTTATCTTAGGTGAGCATATGGTTTGGAAAGAGCATTTTGTTCATGAAACTGAGTTTTGGAACAGGTTCTGCTACTAGCTAAACCATCACTGTTATGGGCGTGTAGTGTGTTCATTGCTGTGCCATGTGCTATGGAGGAAGTATATGACTTAGGCTTCATCCTAGATAGTTTTATGGTCTTAATTTGTAAGGATACATGCATAAGTGAAATTTATTTATTGACTATCGTATGCCAAGCCTTGTCCTAGGCACTGGCAACATGAAAATTTAGACCTTGTGCTTGACTTGTTCACAGTATAATAGAAGATGGACTGACATATAGGTAAGCAGTTAATGCCATAGTGTGATGTGTGCAACAATAGATATACTGAGTACAAAAAGGAGTGATTAACAGTGGAAGAGAGATAGGGAGGATCTTGGGGGAGCTAATGTCCAAGTTGGGTGGAAAGTCCAGGGGCAGGGTGTGGTGAGTGTGGGTGGAGTGTAAAGAGGGGTAGAATTTCAAGCACTAAAAGTAATATCTAAAGGCATGAAGATTTGAAGCAGCATAGCATGTACTGGGCCTGTAAATAATTTTGTAAATTAGAATATAGAGTATATGTGTGGGATGGACAGAGATGAGGATTAAATTAAAGATAGGAGCCATATCATATTATGCCTTGTCTAAGATCTTAGCTTTTACTTTTAGGCTATGAGGAGCCATTAAAATGTTTTAAGCAGTGGAATATGATTCAGAAACTTGTAATGAACTTTTTTTAAACATTGAGGTATAGCATATGTACATTAAAGTGCACAAATCAAAAGAGTATGGCTCAATAAATTACCACAAAGTGAACACACCTATGTAACTATCACCTTGATCAAGGAGTATTACACTCTAGAAACTGCCCTTGAACTCACTACCAGTGCTCTTTAAATTACTCCCTCCTTCCTCTCTAAAGCTACCCACTATGTGCTGACCACAAGGAGTTTTAATATCATAGAGTAATTTGCCTCTTTTTGAGTATGTAAATAGAAGTCTTCAGTATGTGTTCTTTGTGGTGTCTTTCAGCATTCTGTGAGATTCACTCAGGTTATTCCGTGTAGCAGTGGTTCATTTATTTTCATTGCTGTGTAAGATTCCTTTGATTATACCAGTTTTATCTATTCATTTGTAGATTGTTTACCTGTAGATTCTTTTGGATTTTATTTTTTTAAGATTGGCCCTGAAGTAACATCTATTGCCAATCTTTTTTTTTTTTTCTCCCCAAAGCCCCCAGGTACGTAGTTGTACGTTCTAGTTGTAGGTCTTTTCTAGTTGTGGCTTGTGGAACGCCACCTCAGCATGGCCTGACAGGCAGTGCTAGGTTTGTGCCCAGAGTCTGAACTGGAAAAACCCTGGGCCGCTGAAGCGGAGTGTGCAAACTTACCCACTCGGTCACAGGGCTGGGCCCACCTTTTGGATTTTAATAGTTTTCTTGTAGGGGCCAATGATTTATCTTTTGAGACTAATAGTTTAACTATTAGTTAAACTATTCTAAAAGAATAGATTTTAGATTTTCTACATAAATTATGCACACTGAAAAATGATAGTTTTATTTCTTCCTTTCTTTTTTTGTGAGGAAGATTGTCGTTGAGCTAACATCTGTGCCAATCTTCCTCTGTTTTATGTGGGATGCTGCCACAGTGTGGCTTGATGAGCGGTGCTAGGTCTGCACCTGGGGTCAGAACCTGTGGACCCTGGGCCGCGAAGTGGAGCACATGAATTTAACCACTATGCCACTGGGCCGGGCCCTTTCTTCCTTTCTAATCCTAATAACTTTTCCCCCCTTATTATGCTGTCTAGGACCTCCAGTAGAATGTTGAAAAGAAGTGATGACAGAAGGCATCCTTGTCTTTTTTCCCCTTTTCAAAGAATACTTTCAATGTTTCACTGTTAGGTATGGTGTTAGCTTATAAATTTGTCTTGTAGATAACTCCATTATCAGATTCAGAAAGCTTTCTCTATTCTTTCTTTGTGAAGTGTCTGTATTTCTTGTGAATCTTGTTATCAAATGTTTTTCCTGTGTTTGTTGAAATAACAAAAGGAATTTTCTCCTTTAGTCTATTCATGTTGGTGAATTACATTGATCATTTTCAAATGTTGAGTGTTCCTGGAATAAACCAAATTTATGTGTATTACTGGATTCAGTTTGTTAATATTTTGTTTAGGATTTTTGCAACTTTGTCCATGAGAGGGATTGTCCTGTAATTTTCCTTTTTTGTAGTGTCCTTGTCAAGTTTTGGATCAGGTTGTGCTGGCATCATTAAATTGAGGATCTGTTTTTTTTTTAAATTAATTAATTGATTGATTAATTTTTTGAGGAAGATTAGCCCTGAGCTAACATTGGCACCAATCCTCCTCCTTTTGCTGAGGAAGACTGGCCCTGAGCTAACATCCATGCCCATCTTCCTCTGCTTTATCTGTGGGACGGCTGCCACAGCATGGCTTGCCAAGTGGATCTGTTTTTTGAAAGAGTTCATTGACATTGTTGTTTTTTCCTTCCTTAAATGTTTGGTAGAATTCACTGGTGAAGCCACCTGGATAGGGAGTTGGTTATGGGAACTTTTTTCTTTTTTAATATGGACTTATTAAATGAAGTATAATATACGTGTAGAAAAGTGAGCAGGTCCTAAGTGTACAGCTTTTACAAAATGAACACCTTTGTGTAACTCGCCACCCTCATCAAGAAATACAATATTGTTAGCACGATGGAAGAAGTCCCCTTGTGCCCCATCTCACTCATTCCCTTCTAATGGTAACCGCTATTTTGATTTCTATCAACATATGGTAGGCTGTTTTTATTAGCTGTGCTGGTTTCTCACTGTGGTTTTAGTTAGCATTTCCCTAATGACTAATGATGTGAGCACCTTTTCATGTGCTTATTTGCAATCTGGATATCTTCTTTGCTGAAAAGTGTGTGTTCAGATCTTTTGCCTGTTTTTAAATTGGCTTATTTATTGTTAAGATTTGATGATTCTTTATGTATTCTGGATATAAGTTCTTTGTCAGGTATGTGATTTGCAAATGTTTTCTTCCATTCTTTGGCTTGTTTTTTCCTTAACGGTAGCTTCTGAAGAGCAGGAGTTCTTGATTTTGAGGCAGTCGAATTTACTGATTTTTTTTCTCATGGATTATGGTTTTGTTGTCATATTAAAGAACTCTTTGCCTAACTCAAAGTCACATAGCTCTATGTTTTCTTCTAAAAGTTTTACATTTTGATCTATGATTTGTTTTAAGTTCATTTTTGTGAAGGTTTGAGATTTCTTTTTGCATATGAATGTTGAAATGTTCCATCCATCATTTGTTGGAAAGATTATCCTTTCTCCACTACATTGAGTTTTGCCTGTTTTTAACTCCATATAAATGATATCATTGGGCCTCCACTTTATTTTGATCTGGCTTCTTTTGCTGAATATGGATTTGTGAGGTTTATCCGTGTTCATTCATATTTTGTAGCACTAGATTGCTTCGTGTCATTCTGGTATACTGTTTTGCTATATGAAAATACCACAATTTATTTATTTAGTCATTTATTCATTCTCCCATTGATGGACATTTGGGGTATTCTAGTACTGGGTTATGAATACTTCCAAACAGTTTTCCAAAATGGTTGTACTAGTTTGCACTTCTAATTGCAGTATGTGAGAATTCCAGTTGTTCCACATCCTTGCCAACACCTGGTCTTGTCAGCTTATGCAATTTCAGTGATTCTAGTAGGTGTTGAGTGGTATGTTGTGGTTTTATTCTCATTTCCCTGATGGCTAAAGATGTTGAACATGTTTTCATTTGCTTTTTGGCTATTTGGTTGTTCTTTTTTGTGAAATGCCTGTTGATTTTTTGTCCATTTTAAAATTGGATTGCCTGTCATTTTCTTATTGGTTTGTAGGAGTTCTTTATATTTCTCACGTATATTCAATACAAAGGTACGTGACCTTTGTATTGCAGATAACTTCATCTAGTCCATGGCTTGCCTTTTCACTTTTATAGTAGTATCTTTTGATAAACAGAAGTTCTTTAATTTTACTAAAGTTTAATATATCATAAAAAAATGATTAATGCTTTTGAATACTATGTAGTAAATCTTTGCCTACCCAGAGTCATAAAGATATTTTACTCTGTGTTCTTCTAGAAGCTTTATTTCCTTTTTGCATTAGGTGCCGAATAGTTGTTGTATATGTCATGAGGTAGAGATTGAGGTTTATGTTTTTCTCTATGAATATCCAGGTAACCCAGCACCATTTGTTGAAATGTCCATTCTTTTCCCCACAATACCTCTGTCATAAGTCAAAAATCAAGTGATGGTGTAGTGACATCTCTGTCATAATTCAAGTAATTCTGTATGTTTGGGTTTGTTTCTGGGTCCTCTGTTCTATTCCGTTGG